CGGGTCACCCTCACCAGGCAGAGCATTCTTCAGAGCTGCAATCTCATGATCGTGCTCGTACTTATTCTTAAGCTCCTCAAGAGTTTTTTGTGTGGGTAGAACAGCATGATGCCAAAGTCATAGCCGTTCTCGCTGCAAACGTTTAGGCTGCCACCCATCGCTGAGCCACCAGGCGAAAAGCCTGATGAGCCTGCTTCTCCCAACCAAAGGCCGCCTCTCGGGCACGAGCGCATCGTTGTCGATCGGAGCCAGCACTGACCCGTCCTGCACAGCGACGGGCTGCACGATCTGCATGAGCATTCAAAGCCCGCGACACCATCTCACCACAGGGTGGGCATCGCCACTTGGAGTCAGCAGGCTTTCCATGCGAGGGAACCCACCACTTGCAAACCTCGATTTTGCCCTGCAAAGCATCGAAAGCAGCACATGCACGACGGCTCAAAAGCAAGTTGGAGCCACCACCAGCAACGGTCGTCAAGGCCGATTGGCAGTCCGCAAGGATGTGTACCCGGCCGCGGCATCTGCACCTGTTCAAAGCCCGAGCCNNCCTTCCACCTCAGCACGGTAGGCAGATTGATCTTCACCAGAAAGGTTAAGGGCATAGGAGGCCTCGCCATCCAACGCCACGCCCCAGGCCGCCACCATGTCCACCAAGCTGCCGTCCGTCGCCACGTAGACCGGAGCGCCGTTGCCAAGTCGCTGGTCCAAGGCCTCCGCCAAACAGTCCACAATGTCGTCATAGTCCAACGCCACAGGGGCCAACGGGATCTCCGGGACCTCGTGAGCCAGCAACCGTTCCTCAAGCCGGTGCTGCGGCCGTCTGACGTTAGCAACCAGGTCCGCAGTACGATCACAGTTCCACAACAAATGTGGACGCGACGGTTTGACACCTCCACAAAGACAAACAGGCAAAGGAGCGCCTCGTTGTCCACAGCGCTTCTGCTTGTGCCAAGCCGAGCAACCAGTCACCAGAGCACAGCGCCTCTCCAACGTAGACGAAGAAGTCCTCCAAGCCCACCTGTGGCCTTGAAACACCGCGAGACAACCAGCTGGGGGTCCAGGGAGCACCAAACCTTGAGCAAGGCCGTCCTCCGCCTCACGATGCTGCAGCCTCGTTACCCGACGACACTGCTCAAGCCCTCGACGACGGTAAACATCCCGAAGCCACTCGACCAGCACCTCCACCGAGTCAACACCCACCTCAAAGGAACGAACCTGGCCGAAGGAGTCCCGCCTGCAGACAAAACGGCCCCTGTCGTCACACCACCAGCCAAGTTGCTCCAGCGTAGACACCGTCAAGGGCAGCAAAGACGGCCACCTGCGACCAGCCAAGCGCAGCGAAGCATCCTCAATCCAGACCGGCACCTTGGAGTGGAGCCGGATAGCGCAGCGAAGGGCCGACAAATCTCGCGCAAAGCCCGGGTGAGCCTCCCAGTCAGCAATCTCGTAGCAAAGAACAGGAGGGGTGTCCGCCGCCATATCCTTATGCAGGAGCCAACGGAAGTCCATGACGAGGGCCTCCAAGGTGTCGTTGGAGATGGAGGCAAAACCACCAGCCCAGGTCAACATCGGGGTCACCAACATGCCAACGAGCCGACGCTTGAAGGCAAGCCCATAAGCAGCAACGGCAATCAGCCTAAGCCTCCGGCGGGCCTTGAGCAAGTTGAAGTCCTTCAGGAAAGGGCTCTCAGCACGATCAACCGGAATGACTAAGCCCAAAAGAGCCAGCCGGTCCGCTTCCTCGTAGCCCATCGAAGCAGCCAAAGCTCGTACCTCAGGAGCCGCGGAGCGGTGCACAAACTTGCTCTTGGAAACGTCACAGCGAAAGCCGTAGGCCGCATCAAAGCGCGAACTTCGCCTCTTTGCAGCCTCCAGTGAAGAAACCTCAGAGGCCCAGAAGAGGCGGTCGTCGACAAAGGAGCAGGCCTGCACAGAGCCCCCACTCGGGCCTTCAACAGCTTGAGCCCACAACGCCATCACCACGCCAGCCAGCATCGGCGAAAGAGGACATCCCTGAGGAACCCCACAAAGGACCCGGTGCCACTTGCTGCCACACCGACCCTGATGAGTGAAAACACGCTCCTGCTCCACATAAAAGGACCGAACCAACGAGCATAAAGCACGAGGCGCGCCCAGCTTCGCCAAAGAAGATTGTAAGTCCTCATGGCGGATGCCGTCGAAGAACTTTGTCAGGTCCTCCTGCACATAGAGCTGGTCGGAGTCGAGCGAATCCAAGACCCGCAGGTAGCAGTCTCGAACACCTCGGCCGTGAACACCACCAAGTACCCTATGAGAAGCCCAGGTGTCCACCCAATCGTGGAGCTGCTGAACCACCAACCTCGATCCCACTCTCCAGGCACACGATAAGATCGTCAAAGGCCGGAAGCCCGTCGTGGGTTTGGGTATCAAAACCACCCTCCCCCGCCTCCACAAAGCCGGCGTGGTGCCCGAAGCCACCACACAGGTCCAGAGCGAAGCCATGGCCTGCCAAAAGCCCATAGGGAGCAAACACCATTGGGCCGTAGTCCAGCCATCAGGTCCCGCCGCCTTCTTGGCCATGTCTTTGGCAGCCCGCAACAGGGCATTCGCAGTGAAAACAGGTCGCCACTCAAACTCCGCCAAGGAGGGAAGGTCGCGAAGCAGCGGTGTCACCAAGCCTGTGGTCCCAGCCCGGCCCCACAACTTCATCCAGTCGTCTTCAGCAGCTTGCAAGACCCTTGTAGGGTGAATCGCCTTGCATCGATGAACCTCGGTGGCACGCATGACGGGCCGCTCGAGCTCAACTTTCAACAGCTCCCGGCGGCGAATCCAAGCAACAGCCTTGCCCTCAGACTGCTCCAGACGAGACCGCCAGGATCTCAACGAAGCCGCTTTCTGCTCAGTCTCCATCTTGTCGATGTGCTCCTCCACAAAGTCTGCCCAAAGCTCCATCCCGAAGAAAGGAACTTCAGACAGCCACTCACAAGAGGCCTCAAGATCACTAAGTTGTCGTGCAGCTTTATCCCGAAGACGGCCATGCCCAGGTTCCCGAGCCAATTGACGAAGACGCCGAGCCAGCCTCCGAAGGGCCACCAGGACCAAAGACTCCTTAGTACGGCCAGCTTTGCTGCGAGGGTGCGCCCGAGCACGTGGGCGCCACAAAGAAGAGCGCCTGCACCGCATAGCCGAAGATGGGTCGCGAAGCAAGTCCTCACCAGTGTCCGAAAGCAAAGTCCAGGCACCATCCACATCTTTGGCCTCCAGGGCCCGCTGAAACGCCATGTCATCCCAGCGCCTCGCCCAGGCCTCATCGGAGACCTTGTCCGACCGCAACTCAACGAAGCTCGGGCCACAGCACCCAGCCGGGTCCTCCAGGTAAACGGATGCTGCTCAAGGTACTCGTCTGCTCCATAGAAGATCGA